TGAAACTAGCTGACCAATAAACCAAAAGAACCCACTCAAAGAGGGGCACGTGTACATGCATGCCTTATTATAAACAGAAGTCGGAAATGTTTCTTTTTCTAGAAATGATAACACTATATAGCATGCACTAAATGTATAGATATCACAAATCAATTCAGTCTTGATCTTATAGAAAATGTTGTTTTCAATCAAAATCATTTATTAACGGTATGACTAATGCTATCAGTATTAAATGTACCCCAATAAGGACGTACCGTATTTATCCTGTCGTGAGCCCAGGAGGCCAATACAGAAGTCGCGATGGGCGGGCTTATTAGAAAACAAGGAAATAGAACTAGAACTGCAGTGGACATGGGTTAGTTTGTTAGATGAATATGGTATAAAGCAGTATAATTGGTTGATAATGGTGTTAGCATAATTATTTTTAGTATACCGTCACATTATGCACATACAATTCATTAGTTAATGTAGCTTACCTTAAACTCATTCACCCCTGAAGACACATTTGAACTCTTCCAATTCAAAGGTTGGAAAAGTTCACTATGAAATTTCAGGGGTGAGTGAGTGAATGTACTAGACAAGAAGGCACTGAATTGAAACAGTGTCTTGTCTGTTAGAATCCGTGAACTTTCTATCAAAATTTTACTTTTGATTTAAAATTTTGTTCAATTTTTTTGCTTGTTATGATAACTTTATTAATGTTGGTATATTTGTGTACTAACTATAGTAACATTAAGTATTACAGGTTATAGTAACGTGTTTGTAACCAAGTCTTATAAAGGTACGTTGTGTATTATCTTACTTAATCTTAAGTACTTACATTGGTATGTTGAATTTTGTTCAGTGTATTTAAAGTAATTACACTTTTTACTTAAGAAAATCTTTTTATTTGCTTTTCAATTCATGTTTTTTTTTTTTTTTAGAAAATCAATAGAATAAACATTTGGTTCATTGGTGATGTATTGTATTTAAGCATCCAGTTTTAACGACATTTCATTTCATTGGCTGTTGATAATTTAGTGAAAAATGTAGAGGTCGGGGGAAAAAAATGTCCCAAGGACATGCAGTTAATCATTCACCCCTAAAGACACATTTGAACTCTTCCAATTCAAAGTTTGGAATAGTTCATTATGAAATTCCAGGGGTGATTGAGTTAAAAGTAACATTTTGATTTGTGAGAGTAGAGGCTGTTAGATGTTACTGATAAAGGCTGCTTTTTGTTGGGTAGTGATAACAAACATTGTGTGGTTCGGGTTAAACATGTACATTGTACTGTTTATGTTTCATTAAAACACTCAAAATAAATTGATGACATTTTCAAATCAGCTGTTGTTGGGTTTTTTTTGTCATAACTTGCAATGGTTAATCCCAACTTTCAAGCAAAACCCGTCTTTACAGATATCAAAGGAAACTAAAATAGATGTATGTCAGTAAAGCCTCGTTTCAGAGGTAATAAAATCTTGTAGAGTCAGTCAGAATGTCGTTATTGCCAGGTTTCGGTAAAGTCAGGTTTCTTTGTATGTAAATGATGACAGGAACACGAGTTACGTTCCAAATGGCTGCATTTTCTGCTTTATTTTTTGTTTCATCACATCACAACATAAATATTCATGATAAAATTTACAATTTACATCAACATTATCACATTATCAGTCTTTTTACGCTTCAAAAAACACAGCTGACACCTGACCTGTCTACACATTAGCCGACAGACACACACGTGAACCTCTTACTTGTACATCTAATAACATATCACCCATTCTACAAGTTAACAATTTACATACATTGTACCTAACAAGAATTACTGGACTTTGACCAATCACACCACTTGATAAAAAAAAGAGTTCCTAATGTCGAGTGTACAGTAAGTGTGAATACATTATGGAACTAATTCTAAAATAAGACTACACACTTTACAACTATGTGATATAACAGATATCTTCCTTGTTGTTTTATGCAGCATTATCAAAAAATTCAGAATTTCCAAAATGTCATAAACACATACTTATATTCCTTTCAAATGATCCAATAATTGATTAATCCTTTCAACCCTATGTAACTTGAGTAGACTCTACCATTCATTGATATGGATGAGTCGATTATGGTCTACAGTGGTGAAAGGGTTAACTAAGTCACGTATCCAGTCCAACCAGCTGAACTTGAAAGAAAATGACATGCCCAGATAGATCTGAACCGAGGCTGACCTTGGGAATATTCGGCACATGTAGATTAAGGGGATTAAGACATGCGTGGTCGAAACTAAAATGTTGACTTGCTAGTTTGCGTACTGCCTACAGTTTGGTCAAAGTGTGTTCAAGATAATTTATCGTGGAATATATCTGCGCCACTTGAACTATTTCAACATGGATACGCGAGTGCGACCTTGGTATGGTACTGTAGAACTCTTCTGGAATGAAGGTGCATTTAATTGCAAGACTAGTAGTAATTATTCAAGTACAATGTGTAGACCGAGAAATCGGTTAATCAATCAGTACCTCTTTGCACATCACTGTATATTTCTGAAATTGCTGGTTTTTCCCAAAAAAGCTATGAAATAGAAAAATTGAAGTGATGTAGAACTGACATTAAGGTGACACTGATTAACTTGATGCTGTCAATATAAACCTTTCAGGTTTAAATTTAGGCAACTTTTTAATATTGATCAAAACGGCAATACAAATGTAGATGTTTACAGCCATATATATATAACACTTAACATGATGAGTTTCAAAACAAATTTATGAAACATTATTATTGTTACTGTTATACAGGTTTTTTTTGCAACAACAAAAAAGTTCAACAAATGACAACTATGGTTTTACAATACATTCCATGCACCCTTGCACTATTGTCAACCAATTCAATTGTCAATCATTCACACATACACAAATAAACTCTCAGCTCACACCAATAAACTCTCAGCTCACACCAATAAACTCTCAGCTCACACCAATAAACTCTCAGCTCACACCAATAAACTCTCAGCTCACACCAATAAACTCTCAGCTCACACCAATAAACTCTCAGCTCACACCAATAAACTCTCAGCTCACACCAATAAACTCTCAGCTCACACCAATAAACTCTCATGAGAATGGAAAATGTATACAAGTTTAAAGTACACTGTATACGTTCAAAATGATGAGCTTTGACGAGAACAGGACCAAAGCCACTCTTGCTTCACTTGACTTAACAAATTGTCATAGCCTTTCTTATTCATTGTTCAATTAGTGACTTCCTGTTATCAATCGGGTCACTTTGTGTGGGGCCAGATTAATCTCAAGATTAACAGGGTTTAAGCATACAGTGAAATTCAAATTGTGTAAATTCTAATCCTAAACAGGAACTTGATGGGTAGAGGTATATATATAGAGACTGTGAAATTACAAAATCTGTTTAGAGCTATGTTGAGAATGTTTAAGCAGGGGACAGAACTCTTCATTCATTGTATCTCTTGTCTCTCTCGCACGAAACCAAAACTTAACCGACACAGATATACATATAATAAGTAGATCTCAATTCTAAAACACAACCCATGTAACATCACAGTAAACAGAATCAGAAACCATTGTCCACCTCTACAACAATTAGTACAGTTGAACAACCTGAACATATACGTAAGTGGCAGTGTTTTGTCTGACCACAGACATGACGTTTATCTTTCCCAGTATATCGGAGTCTGGATATACCAAACATCAATCTATTTCTCTGCCCAGACATCACAAAACTGACAAAACAACACAAGTGACGTGCATGTTTCATTTGATAGTGATGTTCCGCCCTTGACCTCAAACATGTATATATATATATATAATTTGAGGTTCTTATATACCGCTTCATCACAACCTAGTTCGTCTCAAAGCAGTTCACAAATTATTACCCATGGTTATAGGGCCTTTGCAACCAGCCATTGTCTTTCTCAACTCTCTGGGGAGCATACAGCCGGTGTTGCCATATTCGGCACTCACAGCTAGCATTCAACAATTCTAGCACTGCCCACACTGAACCACGTACTCATTTGCAGCTGAGTAGACTGGAACAAGCAGAGTAAAGTATCTTGCTCAAAGATACAACACAGTGCCGTGCCGTAACTCGAACTTGAAACCTTTCGGTCACGAGCCCGGCGTCCTACTGCTCGACTAGCGTGCCTATACTTATATATACACATGTACAAACACATATAAGAGAGATGAAAAGTGTGACTGTCTAATAAAATCAAAACCTGTCAAGTGATACTGTTGGTGAGATCGTAACAAACACAGATTTTGACCCCGACTTATTACTAAATTAGATTCTAAATAGTGACTCATCATACCTAAAAGGCCTTTATGACTTAATACGTAAAATTCCAATCTGTATAAATATTGAAAGTAAATATAATGAAGTTGAACTGAAATTGAATGAAATATCTGTTAGCTCGTTCACCCCTGAAATTTCATAATGAACTATTCCAACCTTTGAATTGGAGGAGTTCAAATAAGTCTTCAGGGGTACCGATGAATAAGTTAAAAGTTCAGACAAAATGGAATTGACATCTAGTCGATCTGGAAATTAATATTTACCACAGGGGTTTGAAGAGTTCAATATATCATATATAAAACTGTATAGACAGACCCCTGTGCTGTACACAACTGAATTAACCATTCTTATTGATGATAATGTAGAAAGAATGAGACAAAGGATTTCCGTTACAGAAGTTTTTACACACACAAAAATTGATCATAATTTTCATTCCAATGGCAATATATTCCGTCTTTGCGTATTGCAGAGTTATCTTCTCTTGGGAGCAGGTATTGATTGTTACGTCATTGGTTTGTGTGAGAAAATTACGTCGGTTTCTCAAAAATTGATGACGTTACTCTCCCAAACAAGTGACGTAACAATCAATATCTGCGACCAAGAGAAGATAACTCTGCAATACGCAAAGACGGAATACATTATATTTGTGAGATGAATAATACCACAATTATTTAATACAATGAAAAAACACTTTCTGTGTATAGATTTTAATGACATGTTTTTATTTGCAAGTACAGTGTAGGTGATTTTGAAAGTGAAAAAACACAAACCAGATCTTAGGGAAATTCACGGTAACAATATCCAGTCAAATGTACAATATAACAACAATAATAACAAGGTCGCAGGAATGTTCCACAAGCTTCGAAATGAACGTGATCTGTTTTGTTTGTAAGTCATTGCACAGAGCAGCATTAACATATGCCTACATTTCGTATGTCACAAAGGCACAACGAAAAATTCTAGCTTCCTGGTAATTATAAATAGATAAAATATTGGCCAGAGATGACACTACAATTAAAAAAAACCAACAACAAGCTTCCTTTACCGTTTAGATTTATATAACAAATCCAGAACTTATCATTTGTGTCATGCAGGATCAAATGTATTGTAGAACACTTGTTTTGAATTTCCAGAAGGAAATGGAACACATCTTCAGAATTCTTTTTCTTTACCATCTAAAAACATCAAGCAATATACTAAACCAATATGCTACAAAATAGAATTTGGGCCGATTTTCAACGTGGCAGTTTGCAATTGCGTGTCATGTGACCAGCGGTTTATTTGTCATAAACACTCACCAACCAATGAAAATCATGCAAGGTCATAATGATGACAATGGAATTGGATAAACATGTATATGACAATTTGGAATATTACATGTTAACTGCATAATGTACAATGTAAGTGATTTCATGAAACCAATGTGTAACTGTACATGTCCGCATGTATACGAATCACTGAGCAGGAAGTTATATGAGCATCAATTCTAGGATTTCATATACATGTATACATATGCCAATGGAATTAGGTTAGATTGCTGTCTGAGTCAATGATATACCTGAATATTCAGGTATTTTCTTCAATATTCATTAATTGTATCTGCTGTTTTTTTCTATAATAAACTTTAATTGTTTTCTTAAAACAAATGAAGGCTTGTTCAAATGTTGTACAAGTTTCATCAGAGTTGTTGAGAGAGAGAGAGAGAGAGAGAGAGAGAGAGAGAGAGAGAGAGAGGGGGCATGCAATCACTTGGAAAGAAAAATATCTTCTTGGTTAACAAAACTAATCTAAGGATAAGTTGTCATACAATTCATACACGTTGAAAATAAATTGCAACTTGATAATTTAAAAACGTAATTCATAAACAATTTCAAACAACCAATAATCTACAAGTAAGTCTTAAATATATCACAGAAAAAAACTTAATAGCTGTACCATAACAGATACAGAATCTTCATCAAGTACAAAAATAAAACAGATTTAGAAATGACAAAATCGATAATAAAATTCGTCTACACAGAAAGATACCATCCGCTCTCATTTCTTACCCGACATATATATGTATTAGTATATATAGAACAAACAAACGTCTAAGTCACCCAGAGTCAAACATCCAAATGACTGAACACATCTAAACAAAACATCCTACTGGTTCTCAACAAAATATAAAAAATCAATAGACAGTTAAGTATCTACAGGAAACGCACACTAAACATTTTATAGAATCTATTTGGTCTTATAAAGACTAGACACAAGCTACTTTGTAATGACTTTGGTTGAAATTCTGGTAAAATGGCCCTATCTGGTTTTGATACTTGTATTACTTCAACAAATCAATCAAAATATACCTCTTGCAACGACACTTAATGTAATTGTTTTTATTAATTAAAGCACTACACAAAGGTTACTCAAAATCCATTTGCTTACCCGGGGTAACTCATCCACCCCTGAAGACACATTTGAACTCTTTCAATTCAAAGATTGGCATAGTCCATTATGAAATTTCAGGGGTGAATGAGTTGGAGGTTGGATTTTAGATTTATTGCCTCGAAATGGAAATCTAATATACAACCCTGATTATGAACAAAATAAACCTCATTCTGGAATACATGTATTATCAAAAAAAGATAATTTTCATAGGTGAACTTTTACTCCTTGTTAAGGGAGAATACCACTGTTACAATAGGGGGAACTCTTCAATAAATTATACATGATTTTGTAATATATACAATTCATTATCATGACAAGTTTTTTTTTAGACAACTTTTGTACAACTATTTCATTGCAATGAAATAAAACGACGACAACAAACCGTGTCTCCGAGCATGTAAACCCGTAAACGATATACACAATGGTATATACAGCTGTATACATGTATACATGTATTACTTCCAGCATAGCAACTCTTTTTCCTGGTGGATTTATTTTTCCTGTAATTGCAGCCTGCACAAATACACACGAAAATAAATCCCAGAATTTGTTGCACATCTTATCAACATAGAGTATAACCTTTCACATCGCTCTGTGAAATTAAAACTCTTCAAATTTGTTCCAGGAAGAAAAACACGAAAAATTGATGGGGTTAAATATACCCCCTTTGTAGTACACATATATACAGCTGTATGTGGTATACAGATGACTTACAGGGCAGTTAGATACTGAAGCTTGTGAGAGAAAATATGATAAAATATTAACTAAAGCACCTCGAAGCTCATCAGTTTGTCACACAAAATTCTTAATATAATGCTCATCACAATCTTATACTCTATTTAAAACAATGTCTCGTACAGGTATTTTTGGCCGCTATATATCTGGTACAGCCCTGCTTGATTGGGAGGGGAGGGTCTGACAATGCCCCTACATCAGCTACAACTAGCTAGTTAATGTCTTTTATGCGTTTCATAAATTTTGTTCACTGTCATATTGCCGGTTTGATGAAGAATTCAATATTTTAACTGCTGCTATGTCAAAATGATAAGGCTCATTTTGCGGGGCTAAAGTCCCGCACTAACTCTTTTACAAAATTAGCTTTTGCAATCGTTTTGGTAAATTTAGTTTTATTCCCTCATATTACTTTCGTCAGTAAAGATATATATTACTTATGAACTTTTCCAAACATTTTCTATTCAAATGTTTATGAAAAGTTTGAAAATAAAATAAAATAATGCACACAAAAATGGCATAGCACTGTCAACCAACACATGTCATTGCTTTCGATTAATTTTATGCTATTAAAAATATCTTTCATCCATATCATGTTGTACCTATTACTATGACACCATGCTAGTCATTCATTCCAGCACTAGATATCATTGATAAATACTCTAAATGCATATATTTATTATGGTCATTTGATGAAATACATGCTTATTGCATTTTATCTAAACATATATTCCTATCACTGTACTCTTTCACTCGACATTTGTTGGTCACACTTTCACCACAACATAAAACATCAACACTTTGGCTAGTTTTAACATCAAAATGTTTCTTTGTCTCGACATTTCTTACTTCATAGCTATATCCCTTGGTGGAGGAACCTAACATAACGAGCTTTCTGTTCATTCTTCACATGATAACACATCAGACTGATCGACCGACACAACCGACCATGGAACTTTGAGACAGACCCTTGGTCTGATTATAGGGGCCTGTTCGTTTATGCGGAACAACCGGTTTGTCTGTTTTTTGAATGAAACAATTTCTGGTATGAATCTTTGCGGACCTGCAAATGTTATGAAGGCCTTGCAAGGCTTTGTCAAGGCTCGTCTGAAAGCAGCATATCATGTTAATAGGTCCGAAAACGGCCTAGGTCTATAAAAATGGCTGCCCTTCTTGGTGAGAGTCAGATCCATCATCTTCTACATAGAATTCATCATCACAAAGAGTTTGAGATACTGTTTCTCTCAGATTTGCGGATAAAATTTATAATATATTATGGGCTATAGACATCAATCTCCTGGTGGTGGATCCTTTAGATGTAAGAAGACAAAAGCTGTAGAGTCTAAACCCGCAACTCAAAGAGAAGTATCAAAACTCCCTGGTGTAAGTAACCAGATACACACACAGGTCAGGGGTTTACAGTGTCGGCCCTTGTGGCACATTACTTGTGTACAATATTGAACAAACAAATTAATTGATGTTCAAATTTAATTTGTTATCTAACAGAAAGTTTGGTTACAGTATTCCAACCAATGGTAGGAGTTGTATCACTAAGTAACACCATGTCAACAGATGATTGGTTATGGTCGTCCAACCGATCGTATGAGAAACCATATCACTGCATGAGGAACACCATGTCATTTGTTTGAGTTACACTTGGGTCTAGTTGAACAAAATGGACTCTGGGTCTTGGTTTTGTAGTTGGGCAACGTGACGAAGAACATCTTTTTTGGTGATAATTCCTAAGAGACGACTGCAAAATAAAATGTTAAGATTCATTAAAATAATGTACCAATAAACATGGGGTCAATCTGATAAGATTTAATTTATTTTTTGCAATGTTACATTTCCATTTATTATAAAGTGTATATACCGGGAAATGTATGTCCCAATCTTATACTTTTGTCCTTTCCATGCACCCTCGTGAAGAGAGCAAGTTCACCACGAAAGTGAATATAAGTAAGTTAACACAGCAAGGTATAAGGAATGACATGTGATGGGTACAATTAACACAGCAATAATATGGACATGTGATGGGCAAACAATATTTCACTGGGCAAATGTTTTTTCGATACACAGTAATGCAAATTCATTGATTGCATTGACAGATTTTTCGGTTTTGAGATTGTTTTTATTGCAACAGTAATCAGTAACACATTATGAACTTTAAATCAAATAGTAGCCGGTATCTTTTTTCTTAAAAAGGCATGACAAACCTTGAAACGCAACGTAATGAACTGTGTGTGTGTCACGCGTCACACTGAACCTATATTCTTCATTGAGGTATATAGTTAACCTTTATTCACGTCATATGAATCTTGGCATTCCTGACAAAGTCTTATATTTGTAATTACAATTTAATACCGAAAACACTACAATCAGACATGGAGCACAAGGTAGATTTCTCTGGTGAAAAGTATTAGTCTGGAACCATGAATTAAGTCATCATCAATCTTGTTATATATTTCAGCATAGAAAAACAAACCACTGAAATACCTAGCAAACACACTGTTATGTAAACCTCTGCAGTAAAACTGGCAAACACACTATTAACTATAGATATATGTACCACATCCTCTTCAAAATTTCGGACCTAGCTTGTTCTTATAGTGCCATGTACGCCAATACTACCAGTCTTTGAATTTTACAGTAGGAGTATACAAATCACATGATTTCAGCAAATTACAAGAAAGTATAAGATTTCAGCACAGGATACACTAGCATGAGAATGGTTCGATAGCTTATTTCAAACATATTTTTTTCAATAAAGAAAAGGATTACGAAACTGGCAAAGCCTAAGTATAACAGCCTAGAAATGTACTCTATGTATTAATAAGATACTACAGTTACTTTCCGATTATTCAAATTGCTGTGATTTACTAAAATGCTTCAAAATAAAATGCTTCTCAGTGAAATTAAAATTATGTGATAATTATTACTATATGTACAAAGTATATGTGGAAAAAGTTTCATTTAAAGGGTCACCGATGTGAAAAATCATACAATTAATATAAAGCTTAAACATGAATTCTAAAATCATAATTACGTTTGGTTTAATTATAAGTGGATGGAGTTATTTCGTTAAAATTATTAAACTGGATTGTGTCTTTTTGCGGATTAACTAGCTATTTCTTTTAAATGTTAACACTGAGTTCCTTAAATATTAACACAGAATTCCACATCAAACTTATAAATATAAAGGCAAATGTTGATTCCAAAAGGTTCAGACAGTGATAGTGAAGTCAAGTGGTGCTTAAGTATATTGGGGAAAAAATCACGTATTGTCCTCAATCAAGAATTACAGTTATCCAATACACAATTTTGTTTATTTATTCTCTCTAAAAAGTCAACAGTCCTGATTTATTTTTTCAATTTCTGTGAGTTGCAAATGACATAGATTCAGAAACTACCCCACATCTAAAATTATGAATTTTACCAATACCAATTTAAAGAAGGAATCATCATGTAAGAGAAAATGTATTATGATATGGATTGATTTAATCCAATTCACTTCCTTAGAAACTATAGTTGGAAGAGACGGGGAAAATCTCAGGAATACAGGTCATAATGTTTTGAAAAAATCAAAAGATCCATTTTTAAAAATTTTTTTTTTTTAATTAATCTCAATTAAAAGCTTTTTAACTTGCACTGTCAGCTTTAAGAATCTGATATGCTGCAAATCTTTGTGACAAGTTTCTCCTCTTCCATAACAATAAGACGCCAGTAAAATATCTTATTTTAGTTTGTCTTGGTTCATAAAGGTGGAGACACAATGTTGACAAGAATACAAGAATTATTATTAACACTCAGACAGTCCTCTGTTTAATGTCTTTTAAAAGTGAGGGAGGCAACTCTGACAAAAAATACTGGTTTAATTTGCACATTTGGATATCCTTAATAATACGAAATATAGCGAAAGTAAATCAAAGGAAATTTTAGCATCAACACAACAAAATTATCGAGTGATTTAAAACAGTATTAAATGATATATAATTATTAATAAAAAAAAAAGCACACTATTATAAATGCACACAATACATAGTAGAAGCAATGAAATGTTACCCGGGCAACTCATGTGTGGGTTCATCGGTGTCCTTTCTTTTAACCTTTTTCAACTGCCTGATGGATAATAACATATAGCATACTGAAGTATGTGGCAAACAATGCTACAGGGAGTAAACACACAATAACGTAGGGCTTACAATCAACCAGGACAGCAATTATACTGTGTTGGGGGAGGGCAATAATCCTAGAGGGGTGCCAAGTATCAACCAGGAAAACAAGCAATTATACTGTGGTAGGGGAGGCAATAACCCAAGAGGGGTGCCAAATATCAACCAGGAAAACAAGCAATTATACTGTGGTATGGGAGACAATAATCCTAGAGGGGTGCCAAATATCAACAAGCAAAACAGGCAATTATACTGTGTTGGGGTGTAAATAATCTATCAACCAGGAAAACAAGCAATCAATCATGGGGAAAAACAATAAATCAAGAATTGGACTCTTTGACTGGGTTCAAAGAATCATACGCCAGAGATGGAGATGTCAGCAAATCACCAGGAGAGAAAACAAGTAATTATTTGAGGGAAGGGGGTAAACGATCCTATATGGTATAAGGAGACAGCCAAAGGAACAAGTACTCCTACAAAGGGGCACAAAATCGTTCAGGAAAGAAACATTGGGCTCAAAATCATGCTTGGAAATAACAGCCAAAATAAAACAAAATCCAGGTGAGGGACAAACAGATTCAAATAAACAGGAAACCAATCACAATTCCTTGAAGAGGTAAATTTATAATAAAACCAGATCTCTTAATTTGTTTTTTAATTTTTTTTTTTTTTTTTTTGCTTCTTGATTAATTACCTGTCTATTTTATCGGTATTCAAAACTACAGTTTAAACAGGTTTATGAGTTCTCATCATATAGCCCCTTGCCATGATAAATGTTATCACATTAAAATCTACACATGTTGAGCATTTCTATAATAAATAAGAGAGAAAACAGACAATGATCTTATTCTTTTTAATTCTTCACATTGTTATAATAGTATGGAAATATACACAATTTAAGTTTGAAGTAAACCTTCTGGATTATCATTGTTTTCTTAATTGTAATTCGTAGCAATATAACATTGATTCTATTTTTTTGTCATGGCCCGAGTTGAGTGTATTTACTTTCCATGCTAACATATATACCGATATCTAAAGTAGCAAATTTTTTCAAGTTAGGTTTATTTGTTGATTTTTTAATAAAATGTTTAAAACTCATTGTTGATTTGATCATTTCAGCCTTTGTTATGTAAGAACTCATAAATTTTCTGGCTCTGGATGATATCTAAACAGACATTCTGACTCCACTAAGAAAGACACATTCAAATAAACACGAAAAATCATCATACCTGGTAAGCAAAAATTCCAGTTTCAATGGGTAACATCCGAGTCAAATTTATCTTTCCAGTCCTCCAAAAAGAAACTGATTCTACAGTGAAACCTGACTTGACCACACACTTTACCTTAGGGACATTTCATTATAAATTTTTAAGGCATCATGTATAGCCCCTATAGAGACAAGATTACGTATATATGTGTCTTTTCACCAAGCTTTCATTGCCATCCTGTTCATATCTGATCAAATTATTAAGTCTCTGTTGACGTCATTGAAGATTGGTTTACCGTATTCTAATCTTTTCAAATTCTGACCAAAGACCTCAGTTCTCTGATGTCAGTGAAGAGACTTCTGGACTTCAGGATTAGCAACACTCTGTCTAAAAATATCTGACCAAGTTATCGGTCCCCCTTGATGTTGATATTGACAGGTTTCACTGTAGAGGAAAGACGGCGTATTCTATATATATATATAGGGTAATATTATATACTGACCCGTTATGCGTTACCAGAGTCTGTCGCAAGCCAAGTTTTCGGAACATCTCTACGACCGTCTCCATCGGTGTCTGGTCTGTAATGGTCACGGGGGCCTAAACACATAATGAGAGGTGATGAGAAACTGTTAACGACTGGAAGGGATACAGTCTGATAATCTGCACACATAAATAGTTTTCAAGAAAACATCACTGAAAACTTCTCTGCATCTACCAGATTCTCAATCACAGCTAAAGTGTAATTCATAAAAATAAAATTAGTTACTTATATTAACTTCTACACTGGCAGCAATGGATATCTAATAATAATTTAATCTTGCATGTAACAAGCATTTTCATTGGCTTAAAAAATTATGTTATCAGCCAATAACGTAAACAAATGACGTCAATGTTTGTAATGTTGCTTTTGATTGGCTGATACAGCAGGGCAATAATTTCTAAGAGAAAAGAGTCCATCAATAAAAGTGGATTTCCACAAGGATTGTGTAAAGTAGATTAAATTATATATATTCAAGTTAATCCTTAAATAACAATTTAAAGAAAACAACAACAATGGTATGAGGTTTGACAGCTTTATTATGTAATGATAATATGCTACTTCATCTAATATCTTTTGGCAAATGGGGGGCGACAAATGCACGAGTACCCCAAGAAATATACATGTAAGACTAGGCAGGAGATGGTCATGACTGTGGCAGTAGGGCTGTTACCTACTGCGGAAAGTAGGGCTGTTACCTACTGGAGAAAGTAGGGCTGTTACCTACTTGAAGTTTCATGACCATGGCGGAGCCTGAGACCAGAGGAAACTTAAGTTGCAGGGAGGAGAGATGATTGGAGCGAGTGCTGCCAACCAGACAGTCATGACCCGGTTTATCCAGCCTATTTATAGATGAGAGATGAGCTAATGGGCTCAGACAATGAATATGTAGGAATATTTAATTATTTGGGGGCACTTATATAGGAATTATATAAGAAAGCCTGCCCGAGGTGGGTAAAGTACATTGGTCGCACCCAGGTAAACATGTAATGTAACACGAGGGCGAATTCGAAGATGATATTGGTCATTCATGCAAGGTGTATGTATGTGTTTAATGGAGGTTGAGGGGTGGATGGATGGATAGCGAGTGATGCAGACGTCTTCAGTATCGGCGGTAGAATGAGAGCGAGGCTAGTGACGTATGTGTGGTCAAGATGTAGTGGTCAAGCTTGCATGTGTAATGAGGATGCGCAGTGGAACATGTTATGTGCATGTAAGATACGCTCCGATCCCAAGAGAGTGAGGTATGGAAACAGCTGGGTGTTGGGAAATTATTGTAATTTTTAAAACTTTGGTTAACAAATAACCATCACTATAAGGCAAAATATTAAAAAAAAACACACTGTATATCTCCTACTGAAATATGAAGAGTACGCAGGCTTTTTACTTCGAATGTGGTGAAGGGCGACCTTTGACCTTTTAACTTCGTCTGATGACAACAAAATCTTATAAGGCGAATAAGTCGCCATTACCACACATGGTATACAAATTGACATGTTCATAAACTAAACTTATGTTTGTACACAAGCTTTTCACTTTAAAAGTGGTAAAGTTTGACCTCTGACCCTTTAACTTTGGCTGATGACCATCAAAACTGAATCAAGTGTAGAATTTAAATACAAACTCAATCTATAGAAGGATTCATGAGATATCAAGTACAATGTCATGCTTTTTACCACTGGCGCACTGACGGATGCTGCACACACTGACAAAGTAATTATTATACATCCACTTCCTCTAGACGGTAGAATTAAGACCTATTTATTATGTACACATATATTTTAAATCTCACGGCGTGAGGCAAAATCTCCCAGATTTTCACCTCTGATAAAGTCTCGTGGCATGGGATATAAAATTAAGGAAATTCATGAAAACCTCACAGTTATCAAAGATCGATATGTCAGCGACTTCTTGAAGCTGTTTACTCGAGACTTTGCTGCAAGATTTTATTTTGTTTTGACCGACGAATCACATGAACCACATAATGATGTACCTATTAATGCCAAATGCTGGAGATTTGAGGGAGAGGTGTATTGGATGGTTGTATCTTACCAGGTCAAGGATCTTCCTCAATTTGAGAGGAGCTGGGTCGTTAAGGTTACTGGGAACGTGGCTGGAAAAGTACACAATGGAACTGGATACTATACCCTCCTGGTTCTTCCTCGAATTCTCTGTAAACATACAAAGGGAGGTAACCATACCAGTTTTTAAATCATAGAAGTATTGCAAACTGGATACTATAGTCAGTCGTCAATAGTAAACCACTACGCCTAGAGATTAAACGAGTTACAGAAAACCGCCATTCATCACTAAAGTCACCACTTACCTATAGCGAGGTTGACGTCCCTGCGGAGGACAAATCCAACGAGGTACTGCGACTCGCGGGACACGACCACGGGGAAGCCATTGTGGTCCGACGTTTTCAGTGTAGATTCTGGTGAAAACAACATTTCATATGCCATAAATTTGGGGGTATAGTGCGCACTAGAGTATAGTGCGCAGGTACGCTTTTGGGGTCAGATTTAAAGGGGGGAAAAGATGTTGTTGTTTTTTTTTTTTTTTTTTTTAAATTCTGAAAATACCGTATTTTACTGCAACATTGTTATGTATCATCTCAAAAAAAATGTATTTATGTAGAATTACACAGACACATTTTTAAAAACAATATGATAACAAAATGATACGTTATCATATTCACTGCAAACAAAGAGCATTTTTTTTTCTACCACATATACACCAGGATTATGTTTTGCGCTGCAGTTTAATTTTTGACCTCCATATAATGAAGGCGAACATTTCTAAAGAGCATAACATACATTGTTTGTTGAAAAGCAAAAATTTGATTGAGCGGAAATTTCCTGGTATAACGTATGTATTTGGAGCCAACTTTTCTGTCCCATTCCCAATGAGATTTACGACATTTTTGTTTAAGAAATCTGAAAGCCGCTAAGGCCTTTTCTTCTGCGAATTGTTGTAACAGAGTTTACTTTATCAGATTTATTCCTATTAACACGTCATTTAAGGACGTGGCTATACAAACCTAGCTCCTCCAGTGTCATGGTGTCTTGTGTGATCACACAGAGAGGAGGATCGTTCCGTCTGCAACACAAAACAAGTCGACATAACTATGACAGCTAGTCAGGGATCTACAATCCAAGCTCCATAACCAACACAATTACACTTGTATAATAATTCATTGTATTTTGTCACTTGAAGTTCAGTATAGCAGCAGTAATGGAAAATTGTTCACAATTTAAACATTAATTTACAATGAATGATTATAGTATCACTATTAAAGTTAATTCTAAATGAGTGAAAAGAAGGACTTTTCATGATAACTGTTTTCTTTGAAGAAATCAATACTGCAAAAGTAATTTATGTTTTCTAATTTTCTCAAAAATTTTGTTGAACAAATTTTAACTTAAATGTTTGGAAATAGGCATCTGTATTTACAAATTACAAGACTAAACAACATCTTGGATATTAGTATTAATATTGTCGGTTGACATGAACAAATTAAGTAAGCTGAAATATGAAATACGAATGTCGGAGGATCAGGTAAACTGTATGACATGCTAGTAATAAGGGAAAGCTTACAGTGGATAAACATGTGAATGTTGAATAAATTGTGATCAAAAATCAAAGCAACAATCAAATACATGTTTATGTGGCAAAAGCAACAACTGGCAAAAGCAACAACAATACATTGGTTTCAAACAAGAGTCAAAAAGTGCCTGTATCGCTCCTCTGTGGGTTTTGATAGGTATTAATTAACAGCTTATATAAAATGCACGAAATCACCTGGAGACCAACATGGATTGTATCACTTATCTACAGTAGTACCTGCTGTACATGTTATTGGTATAAAAGGTGTAAATATTTATGACAATTTGAGATTGTGGTCGTACATATTTTGCAATTATTATTGAGTCAAGCAATACCAATATCACAACACTCGTTCAGGCAATAAGATGATCATTTGCATTGCACCAATTTTGATCCAGTGGGCCTGTCGAACGTAGGTCAGAAAGAAGGGTGTTTATCCAATCTACCCAAATAACAAATATTACAACACCTGTTAACTCACTCCCCCCCAAAAAAATTTTATAATGAACTATCCCGACCATTGAATCGGAGGGGTTCAAATGTGTCCTCAGGGGTGAATGAGCTGATTTTTAGGGCCATCAGAGGATTAGTCATATTAAGTAGAGCTGGCCCTATATAGATAATAAGAACTATTTTCAAAAAATCTCATCCAATCAGAGACCAGCTAATTGGGCAGCCATCCCTTTTCCTTTAAAATTACCCCAGAAATACTACAACTTGGTCTGGTGAACTGTTATAGAATAAAATGGTTAGTAAATTAAAAAAAAAAAAATTGTAAACAGTAACTGACTTTTTAAGATGCTATGCCTTGGCATTTAATTTACTTGCTTTATAATCATAATGCTTTCTGTAATGGTATGCTGGCTTTATAGCATAAGCACCGGTAAAACACAGCATAACTGATATCAAGTGCATTTATTGTATGAATTTATTGGAATGCAATCAATACATTATGTAATTTTCAATTATTAATTGAACCAACATTTGATTATTCTAGATTCTACCAATGGATGTAAAATTGACATCGGAAATAATGTTTTTGTCAAAGAAGTGTCATTATGCAGAATGCAGTGGTTAAAGCAAATTAACAAAAACCTTAATTGAAGTGTAACATTTTGCAAACATTTCAAGCAGAATGTGCATTATACTGGTCAACAAATAAAGCTTGTAAACATCGATGTCCCATTTGGCTGTGGCCGTTGATAAAAAGAAATGGTCCATAGGGCCTGCATTGCTCACCTGTTTCTTTTTCCCTTTTTTTTTTACCATATGAACCTCAGGCCCCAGGAGAGATACACTCTTCCTTTATCCCAAAACTCCTTCCCAAATCAAAATGACCAAGGAATGTTTCTAGCAAATTTATTCTTTCATTGCAAATTTGTTCAAGATCTGTATATATTATAGTTATTGAACTAGGGGTAGGAATCTTGATAATTTTCATGTTATAAACCTAGGTTCCCAATGGGGTGAAACCTGTATTGCTTACCTGTTTCTTTTACAGTATATTGTTAGAGGTTAGTGGGCTTCGAAAATTCATTATAAATCCTGTATAATCCTGTATACCCCTCTGTACTCTGTGTAAGTCATCCTATCTATATATAATCATGTACTGATGTAATTTTGCCTTATGACTAAAACAAATAATGTGTTTTTCAGGTTTCATCACTCATAAAATGTCAGGAAAGTCAGTTGGTGTACCAACATTTCAGTTAATTGATGAAAACTGTTCATAAAACCCTATATTACATAGAACCAAAAACTTACATTACCAGAATCTTTAAATATTGGATTTTGGACATTTCCTGTTTAGTGTTATCAGTATGCTTATCAAAGATTTTTTCTTATCAACTCATGCATTCCTACACTTATAAAATGGACTTGTCCAGTCTTTGATCTGGTAAGGTTCAAATGTGACTTCAGGGATGAATGGGTTAATCTTTTACTTGAATGTGGCTCAAAAACATTGAATCAGTAGGGCACCAGTAGGGTCACAGACTCAGTTTAAAAACCTGAAACGCACATTTAAATTTTAGGCCAATACTATTTTTTGATAACACAAAGTTTAATTTCTTTAATGAACATGATTACTGCCACCACCGTGCAGAATTCACTTCCTAAGGTGACAAAAGCTGCATGGTCAACAAAGCTAGAGAGATTAATTAGTATACACTTTAGTGAGCGGGCTTTGCCGGAGTATATACCTGCTCGTAGTCTGTAGAGGGTCACTGATAAGTCGTGTCTCCGAGTCACTCCTTTGCTTCCTGTTAAGCCTGGGACGTTGGTCCCTTTACAGGCAAATAGGAATCCTTCATTTATCATTTGTATACCATTATATAGGTGTACAGGTGAAGAATAACATCAATTTTAAGGATTCCGATAATAATACTACCTTACAAATGACATAAAGATTTATAAGATAAGAGTTATTTCTCTTGATAAAAACCCCCACATATCATTGGTATTATGATATATTCCAGTTAGAATGTTATCAAAGCATGCATTCTTGTGTGTTTTAAGTGTGTTTTAAATGGGTCACCAATTACAAAAGCGACTATTTTTAGAACATGTTATACAAGTATCTTGGTGCTGAACTCTTTTATAATGGGAGATTCGTGTCAAATTAAGGAAGCAGGTAACCTTAAATTCAACCATTAAAACAAAATATCAAAATATATTAAGAATGTTACGGTAGGCCGGTATCAAGAGATCAACAGTAAGGTAAATAACATTTATCAGGAAAATTCAACAGCTTGGCTTTTATCCGATAAACAACAAGATATTTATATGATAAACAACTAGGTATTGATCAGATCAACAGCTCGATAGGTATCTATCAGATTTACCAGCCTCATAGGGGACATATAGAAGAAAATCTCTAAAATTCCTTCTGTTTCTGTAAGAATGGAGGATTTTAATCAAACCTCCTTTTGCAAAGGGGACTTAATAGTATTTATCATATCAACATCTAGCTATTAATCAGATCAACTAGCTATTATTCAGATCAACAGCTAGCTATTTATCAGATCAACAACTAGCTATTATTCAGATCAAAAGCTAGCTATTATTCATATAAACAGCTAGAGATTATTCAGATCAGCAAGCTATTTTTCAGATAAACAGCTAGATATTATTCAGATCAACAGCTAGCAATTACTCAGATCAACAGCTAGCTATCATTCAGATCAACAGCTAGCTTTTACTCAGATCAACAGCTAGCTATTATTCAGATAAACAGCTAGATATTATTCAGATCAACAGCTAGCAATTACTCAGATCAACAGCTAGCTTTTACTCAGATCAACAGCTAGCTTTTACTCAGATAAACAGCTAGACATTATTCAAATCAACAGCTAGCTTTTACTCAGATCAACAGCTAGCTTTTACTCAGATCAACAGCTAGATTTTTTTCTCAGATCAACAGCTAGCAATTACTTAGATCAACAGCTAGCTATTATTCAGATAAACAGCTAGATATTTATCAGATCAACAGCTAGCTATTATTCAGATACACAGCTAGATATTTATAAGATCAACAGCTAGCTATTATTCAGAGAAACAGCTAGATATTTATCAGATCAACAGTTAGCTATTATTCAGATCAACAGCTATCTTTTACTCAGATCAACAGCTAGCAATTACTTAGATCAACAGCTAGCTATTATTCAGAGAAACAGCTAGATATTTATCAGATTAACAGCTAGCTATTATTCAGATCAGCAGCTAGATATTTATCAGATCAACAGATAGCTATTATTCAGATCAACAGCTAGCTATTTAACAGATCAACTAGCTATTATTCAGATCACTAGCTTTTACTCAGATCAACAGTTAGATTTTTTTCTCAGATCAACAACTTGCTATTATTTAGATCAACAGCTTGCTTTTTATCAGATCAACATCTAGCTATTATTCAGATCAACAGCTATATATTATTCAGATCAACAGCTGGATATTATTCAGATCAACAGCTATATGTTATTCAGATCAACAGCTAGATATTACTCAGACCAACAGCTAGCTATTACTCAGATCAAGTAGCTATTATTCAGATCAACAGCTATATATTATTCAGATCAACAGCTAGCTATTATTTAGATCAACAGCTATCTATTTATCAGATCAACTAGCTATTATTAAGATCAACAGCTAGATATTTATCAGATCAACAGATAGCTATTATTCAGATCAACAGCTAGCTATTTAACAGATCAACTAGCTATTATTCAGATAAACAGGTAGATATTTATCAGATCAACAGCTAGATATTATTCAGATCAACAGCTATATATTATTCAGATCAACAGCTGGATATTATTCAGATCAACAGCTATATATTATTCAGATCAACAGCTGGATATTATTCAGATCAACAGCTATATATTATTCAGATCAACAGCTAGCTATTTAACAGATCAACTAGCTATTATTCAGATAAACAGGTAGATATTTATCAGATCAACAGCTAGTGATTATTCAGATCAACAGCTAGATATTACTCAGATCAACAGCTAGCTATTACTCCGATCAACTAGCTATTATTCAGATCACTAGCTTTTACTCAGATCAACAGTTAGCTTTTACTCAGATAAACAGCTAGACATTATTCAAATCAACAGCTAGCTTTTACTCAGATCAACAGTTAGCTTTTACTCAGATAAACAGCTAGACATTATTCAAATCAACAGCTAGCTTTTACTCAGAGCAACAGCTAGATTTTTTTCTCAGATCAACAACTTGCTATTATTTAGATCAACAGCTTGCTTTTTATCAGATCAACATCTAGCTATTATTCAGATAAACAGCTAGATATTTATCAGATCAACAGCTAGCTATTATTTAGATCAACAGCTAGAGATTTATCAAAAGACTAACAGCTAGCTATTATTCAGATAAACAGCTAGATATTTCTCAGATCAACAGCTAGCTATTATTTAGATCAACAGCTAGATATTTATCAAAAGACTAACAGGTAGCTATTATTCAGATCAACAGCTAGCTATTATTCAGAGAAACAGCTAGATATTTATCAGATTAACAGCTAGCTATTATTCAGATAAACAGCTAGATATTTCTCAGATCAACAGCTAGCTATTATTCAGATAAACAGCTAGATATTTCTCAGATCAACAGCTAGCTATTACTCCGATCAACTAGCTATTATTCAGATAAACAGCTAGATATTTCTCAGATCAACAGCTAGCTATTATTCAGATTAACAGCTAGATATTTATCAAAAGACTAACAGCTAGCTATTATTCAGATACACAGCTAGATATTTATAAGATCAACAGCTAGCTATTATTCAGAGAAACAGCTAGATATTTATCAGATTAACAGCTAGCTATTATTCAGATCAGCAGCTGGCTATTATTAAGATCAACAGCTAGATATTTATCAGATCAACAGATAGCTATTATTCAGATCAACAGCTATATGTTATTCAGATCAACAGCTAGATATTTATCAGATCAACTAGCTATTATTCAGATAAACAGGTAGATATTTATCAGATCAACAGCTAGCTATTATTCAGATTAACAGCTAGATATTTATCAAAAGACTCACAGCTAGCTATCATTCAGATCAACAGCTAGATATTATTCAGATCAACAGCTTGATATTTATCAGATCAACAGCTAGTGATTATTCAGATCAACAGCTAGATATTTATCAGATCAACTAGCTATTATTCAGATCAACAGCTTGATATTTGTCTGATCAACAACTGAGTATCTATTTGGAGATGAACAGCTTGGTACTTTTTCCAGAACTCAACCACCGCTATTTATCAGGAGAAATCAACAGCTAAGTACTTGGTGTAATCACACAACATTCAAAGTTTTCTCACAAAAGTAGAGGATTAAAGCAACACAAATCTACATCTTGTCTATAACAGTTTTACAAGGCAACACTGCCAAATATATCAAACGATTACTTGTAATGGTTATCAAAGTTACAGAACACAAAAGCAACATAATATTGAGGCTGATGGATGATATATATTCAACTTACTGACAAGAGGATCAAAGGGCCTGTATTATTCATTTAGCATTTTATTTGACTTTGCCAGGTTCAATCTGCCAACTAGAGCTAAATATTGCCCAATGTTTGTGGAGAAGAGATTGCTCAGAGAAAGGTGGACAGAAACTGTACAGAAGGACCCGAGACAAACGCTGCCCCCAAAACAATGTGAAAACTCACATCATATCTATTTATTTCTGAAGTTTCAGGATGCAATAATAAACACATATATTTAGTATGCCTGATGTTCAAACGAAAGACTTCTAAAATATAATTTAGAAAACAAAAGAAAAATAAGTCCAAACACGCCAAACAGTACATTACAATAGGAGCAGTTCGTCGTCCCTTCTCATTACAAAAGCAATGGGTAGCAGTTTGATAAGACAAAACATAGTACCGGCTGAAATCTACATTGTTTTGGGAAACCCTAGCAGTTTTAATTTACAGCAACTTTGAGATGANAAAAAAAAAAAAAAAAAAAAAAAAAATGCAAACAAAAATCAAGAGACGAATGATTCTGCAAACAAAATTTCAATCAGAACAAAATCAGTAAACACGTTAATAAACAGTGCATCAGGGAATAAATAAACACTAAAAATGTCTGTAGAGTAGCGCATCACATTGTCACGTGGTGAAACTTACACTGCTATGCCATAGCGCCAGTATCTTAGGGGAAACAGAAACAAGAGATACATGACAACATGTCAGTCCTATATAATCACCTCAAACTTATTTATAGAAACGCTAATAAAGGAAATGTACACTCTGTTGTAATTCTACTAAACACACCTAACGTCAACGAATGCTGATTAGTCCTTATTTAAATCAAATCTGAATTTATTTATTTTAATTGATTATAAATATACCTATTAAAAAATTGGCTTGATTTTTTTTTTTTTACCTAGAGATCTGTCCACAGGGAAATTTTGTGAAAAAAGCTAAATTATGTTAATTCGATTTCAAAAGGACCAGTTTAAATAACATTTCAGGGATTGCTGTTCTACAAAATATAGATAGTACTCCAAGGTTTTGTAGTATATTGTAATTACAAAGTTATAAAGAGATTTAAGATCCGTCGTTTTACTTGTTATCTTAAAATTATTCTTAGTATATAGGAAACATGCTTTATTTTTTAAAGGAAATTAAAAGATGTTAAATTAAAATATGGGTACCCGGGGACATTCAAGATTTAAGAAACCCATATGAAAAGGTTGTCATTTAAGCTGTTTTTCTTTTTTTTTACCTTGAGAAAAAATATTGGCACTATGCTTAATTTTATTGGACGCAGTTTCACCTGAAGGTAACCGTTTCAGAAAACCTTTACACAACAAAATATACGGTATCTTAACACTTCAAAAAATACGAAATAGCGCTACAACGGACGTGACTTTCCGACAAAAGCATGATGACGAAAGAATGAAATAGTAAGAAGTTTGAAGTTGTCAAGCTAAATATAACTTAGTATCATGTGCACATTTAGGTGGTCGTTAATGCACTATCAAAACAAATGTCAACAAAAGTCGGAATTTCATTCCATATTACATTTGTGCCAAGCAAAAACGAATTATATTAATTAATGAAACAACCACAATTATTAAAATCTCAAACTGGATATAAAAACTCCAAGCACGCGATAATGTCTCGGTGGTATTACCTACCCAGAATCTCCTTCTGAGCTCTTGGGTCTAGGATAATAATAACAGATAATGCAATCAGTTGGTGAGGTATAATCTGTAAACTAGCTAGATACGGTAGGATAACTTGGAAAATATACTGGAATTCCTAAAATGGATAGAAATTTTTAGGAAAAGGGGGAAAAAATGAAACAGAGCGATACAAATGTTATGACTAAAAAAAAAGACGGTCCAAATTTTTTTACCTTTAAACAAATTGTACATATTTTCAAATTTAGTGTTTTACTTAAATTTCACAGACTAACAGTTACGAGGGTAAATTTTTAAAAGTTTATTATATATAGAATCATTGACATAACCTGTTAATTTTGTGAAAAAAATGTTGCCTGAAACCCTTTATAAATATATTCTAATATGGCTATACAGGCAACTGTACATCTGTCCTACATCACTGTACAAGTGTTGGAGGTCAACACGACGTATGTCAGCGTGAGATGAGGTGTGTACCTACCGAGGTCGCATCACATCGGCGGCAATAGTCGTGTGGGTGAATTCCTCCTTACTGTCCAGGTAGGGGTAGCCATTAAGGTGTATATGGGCATCATAGCTGTATAGCTAAGGAAAGACAACTCAGGTAACATGAAAATCTAATCCATATTCATTGCAAGAGTACAAAAAAATAGTACCTACTGTTGATAATTTAATTCCATTACTGTAAGTGTGAATGATTTTGTTTCAACATCATGAGACCATGTCCTGATTACTGACCAATCAAAACAGTGTTATTATTGACCAATCAGAATTCTCTGATAATTGACCAATCAGAACGGCTGCATGTAGCAGAAGTTATAATACGGTCAATTCCCTATTCAGAGATTTATTTCAGGAAGTCCATAAAGAGTTCTCTTCTAGCAGATGATCTCATAATATAGATTCAATAAACATGAAAATAACTGCAATGGGTAGATTTACAAAAGGTCTCTTAACAAAGGTTGTCCCTTAATAGAATTTGTCTCCCATTTTCAAGCAGGTTTGATTGTAGTTACAGTAAAACCAGCAAAAGTATTAGGGCCAGAAAAAATCCTAAAATCATTCCTGTATTTGAGTTAGCCAGGTTTCCCATAAACTTAGGTTCTTTACATCACTGTGAATAGAAAAGAAACAGCTGAAAAGATCCGTAGCTCACAACAAAGTCAGAAAGGATACATTCCTTCACGCCCTAGGGAGTCTCCTACCCACTTGCTGGTGAGGACGGCAGCCATCAGCGGTACAATATACTGTAGACCTCCTGTCAGCTCAAACATTATCACCACAAGGGACACTGCAAAAGAGGACACAGGTCAGTCATAAAAGTACAAAGGTCAGGGATCAATATGTAAAGGTCAATAAGGGAAGGAAATAGTAGGTCAGGAAATGTGTGGAGGTCAGACAGAATGGGGAACAGTACAGGAAGGAAGAGAACAGGTCAGGAAAGAGGAGAGGTTAGTCAAGATCGGTTAACTGATCATTCACCCCTGAAGACACATTTGAATTCTTCCATTTCAAAGGTTGGAATAGTTCATTGTGTAATTTCAGGGGTGAATGAGTTAAATGTACAAGTCACTTAACAGATAGCAGTAGTGAATTTAATGGATGACAATCTGTCCACAAGAACTTTCATCAGTGTATGGGTAAATGGATATGTCTAGTGTAATAACAAATGGTATATCTATTATGTGAATGAAGACCCAGGTTTCGCTTTGGTTTTTTTCTTTATTTGTAACAACACTATGAAAGTAATACACACGATACAGGATTCTTTGTCAATCTATGATATCAGGCTAAATCATGGAAAAATGAAATCATCATAGCACTTATATGTGGCACCCTAAAACTTTTCAATTCAATTCCTTGATTTGATCGGAGGACAACTGAAATTCAGTCCGAACTGTAATGATATAGAATGTACGACTGACTCACCGGTCATCCTGGTCACACCCCCGAGCACTGCTGCAGCTCCAACCATAGCGTACAGTCCAGGTGTGATCGTACAGAAGTTGTCTGACACACACATGTTATGGAAAAATGGATTATTATGATATCTCCTGAAAAAAATAGAAAAAATACAATGGCATTGACACAGAGAGTAATGGAGAGCGCATACATCAAAGTCAGGCTAATGGAGGTAGGGTGTGTATGTGCCAGTGTTATAGAATACATCGGGTATTCAAGTTTTAACTTTCCTTAAGCCTGTACAATATAGGTAAAATAGAAACAGATAAGTGTATCATTTATCTGTGTTTAAGAAATTTAAGAAGGTTTATTGTGTAAACATATTAAATCTGATTTAAAACGCCTCATACAAATCTTGGTTAGAATATGTTCGGTGATGTTTTTTAAATTGATTCCCATACATTTTAGCCAAACATTTGTGCAGTAGCAGAAATTGTTCTTATTTTAACTTTAATATGTAAAAGCACATGACAAATATGTTTTTGTAAATTGTAAGGGCAGACAACTCACACAACCAATTGCTCCACTCCGATACCAACGATCCGGCCAACGATAGCTCCCACTGCCATACTTGGAATGAACAGACCAGCAGGTATCTATAATAAACACCACAAATATAGTCCAACAAGTATGGTTTTCTCTTAATAATAATAATAACAATATACAACATTTGATATAGTGCCCTATCTAGCTAACATAAGCCACTCTAAAGCACTTTACAGTACACAGATATACAATTAATACAATTAGCATATATATATTACATTAACTAATAAAAAAATTGAGGAATTCGCAGGAACTGTCTTTTTAGGCGCTTATTACTAGTCCAGTCCTATGCCACCTGGCTAATATCTCCCTATATGTGTATGCCTGTGTGTGTGCTGGAGATGTGATGTTCTGTTTGTAGTGGGATCGTGCTTCCAACGACATCATTGGATACTGAAATAGCATTAACTATAAGTTAACCAAGTCAATGGAGCGTAAAATATAGGTCAAAATCAGCATCCGCAATATGCATTCAGTAGAGCAACCCTAGATACACAACTGATGCAAGTATAATCAACACAGCACTTGTAGTAGGCAAGATATAGATGAGAGCAATTCTTCTAAGCGAGGTGCATGGACGGACAGCTGGCCACATGCACGGATGCAGGGAACTCGTTGAGCGGGGGATAAAAACTGTAATATACATAAAATCCTTTGTTGTACTGACCTTGATGCCAAAAGTGAAGATGGTGATGATCCCTTTAAATATGAGTGCTATGGATAACATCCACAAAGCCTTGAAAACTCCATCTCCAGCCTCCGTACTTGATGAGTAAAACGTTGGCGATGCCGCGTTCGATGATGAGTAATTTCTTCTGTAATCACTGCAATTAAAGTATTATATGAATTATTTTTATAAAATTTTGATAAATATAATTCCAAATTCATAGACCATCATATTTCTGTTATGAAATGAAGTTGGAAGTCAGTAAAGCTGTGAAAATGAACCACAAAAGAGACAGAATGGGATGTGATGTGACAGGTCAGACATCGGCCTCATGATTTTTAACGGGGCAATAAAAAGTCTTCTCTAGGCTTTCATTGGTTCATGCCTGTTAAAGTAATTTATTACATACTTACTAATAAATACAGGTTGTTTATATATGCGATATGACACAATTGCTCTAACCCATATCAGCCCTCGCCGTATCACACCCCAAAACCTGTATCACCCCCCGCCGTATCACACCCCAAAACCCGTATCAGCCCCCGCCGTGTCACACCCCAAAACCTGTATCAGCCCCCGCCGTATCAGACCCCAAAACCTGTATCAGCCCCCGCCGTATCACACCCCAAAATCTGTATGAGCCCGCGAAACCCATATCACCCCTTTTGGATTTTTTTCCGTTTTTCAATATTTCAAAAATAAAAATAAATCATAAGATAGTAGTTTTTATTAGTAAGTATGTAATAAACAGAATAAAACCCGCCTTTTTCCATATCACACCAAGTATCAACCCTCGACCAATATCAGCCTCCGGCCCTTGGGCTGATATTGCAGTCTCGGGGTTATACTGGGTGTGATATGGAAAAAGGCATGTATTATTCTCTATTTATTATATGAATACTGGCAACAAGAACAGAATATTAAAAGAAACGTATGTCAACATGATATGAAACAAACTTACTAACATATTATTTATCTAATATACAACTGTAGCAGGAAAAGAATAGTTTTTAGATTTCCGGGATATTTACCAGAATCTGAAACAAGTTGCATGATAGTATGGACTGTGACTTAAATCAGGTGCTGCGTTACTGTGGAGTGCTGCGTTACTGTGGAGTGCTGCGTTACTGTGGAGGCTAAGAAAGCTTACCATAATTCTGTATTATCCTCGGGCCCACACCTGCTGAACAATTGACGGATCAGCTCACTGGAGTTTTTTCTATGAAACAAAATGCAACATATGTTCCTTATTTCTTACACTTCAGAGTGAATTCAGGGCATGGAGTTTTGAACCTGCGTAAAATCAACTAACCTTTAACTTCTCCAGAGAAATCAGTATTGTTAATCATAATAATTCTTTCATATAATTCAGATTTTTGCCATATATATATATATATATTGAGATACAAAAATAGATTTTTAAAATTTTTGAGCACATATGGCATTGTTAAAGATAAAGAATAGCTAAAATTTCACAAAGTGTAACATTTGCAGGTTTACAATATCTAATTTCTCATCCTCCTGGTGCAAAGTATATGTTTTGGTTGATTAGGAGAAATACTGCTTCTTAACTAGTATAGGCTTAACCCTTTCACTCCTATGTTACTTTAGTAGACTCTACCATGAATTGATATGGATGAGTCCATTATGGTCTACAGTGGTGAAAGGGTTAAATGTGACATGTTCCATTTACAGGCAGGGGAGATAACTGTTGCTTACCTTGTATACTCGTTAGGGTAACTCAGTAAGGCTGTGATAAATGCAACCCCGAGTACCTGTAGAATAAATTAAAATATCTTGTTCATTTTATTCATGAATATTTATGAGGAGTCTGAGGTTGATTTTATCATGGAAAGTGACAGCTTTTTAGACCTGAACCGTGTAGTAGATTAACTTATTTCAAATTGAAAGCAAAATCAATATTTTGCCAAGTTTTAAGTCTTCAGCCAAATCCTAAGAGACCAGTTGTATTTCAATTTTCAGATTTTCAGATATGTCTTTTATATATATATTCTTTTAATGGTGAATAGATACTTTGAAGTCTCTCCGTCATTTTGGCAGATTGACCTGTAGAAATAATACAATGCAATTATTGACCTGTAATGGTGTAACACGAGGATTTGTCTACCCAACTGTTAATCGTCTGTTGAGGGTAGGACAATCTCATGCCACACCAAAGCGGGTCAATAACTTGTTTGTTTAACTATACTGAATATAAGTGAATAATGTACATGATTTAGGAAAAATACAAGAAACTTCAAGGAATATTTTCAACCAAAAAAATTTGGTTGTTAGAGCAGACATAGAAATGAATGGTATTGCAACAGAATAATATATAAGATAATTAATGTGAGCAGACAATATGCCAGTTCTTACAGAGTAATGACAGTTTTGGGACAAAAGAAAAGACTTCTGTTTTTGTGTAAGAAGAGGCTATACCTAGTATTATTGTTTCATATCATTTCATATCATGCTATGAGTTTCAAGAAAATGAGAATCAAGTGCCTTAAAGAGGTATAAAATATGTTAATAACACTTACCTCAACAATGGGATATTTTCCTAATATTGATGATTTCCTAAATTTACACCACCTTATATTCATCTTGATGAAAAAGCTCCCAAACACACCCTGAAAAATGTTTAATAATCATATATATTGAGTCCATGTTTACATTCTTATGTCTACACAAATTCACAAGCTGTCAGAATCCAATGAATAAGGACAATATCTCTGACTGGGTCAGAGGTAATGTTAAAGGAGCTGGTCGGGGGAAAAAATACAAAATAAATGGGTCTAAATGCGTTCTCTGGCCTTCCAAAAGTTATATCACGGCAATATGATGGTCAATCCAGTTTTGACCACTGAAATCTCGGGGAAGCATAAATTTAGCGCAGATCTATTTATATATGTCACATGGTTGTTTCGAAAGTGAGGCAGTGAAGATAACAACAATAGCACACCAGCATGTGCTATGTCGGACTCAACTAGCGGACAAGACAGCAATACTGTACATAAATAATTGTTTTCAAAGGTCATGTATGATGCATGTGTAGTATTCCTACCTATATGTTGTTTTTATATATAACGGTATTGATACCTCGTGCCTGTTATGACTTTTGCATGCATCTTTTTCTTTCGCCACGATGTTTACATTTGGCCATGTTGATGACGCGCGTGCGGTAAAATTACATCACTGATCTGGGTCAATTGAGAGTTTTAGACTGTCAGGTGACGATTTAGGATTTCTTTAATATAATTATAATTTTTGCACTTAGGGAGTGAATTTTGAATCGGTATATTTCATAAGAAGGTATTTTAAACATGTTTATGCCATTTTAGCAAAAATGACACTTTTTCCCCGACCAGCCCCTTTAACACAATAAACTTTAAATTTACTTAAAATTTTACTCTTTGTCGCTTCAGTTCTCACCTGTCTGTGTGCTTGGTCGACCATGTTTCAGCAATGGACAAGGACATGACATCGTACATGTCTGCGCAAGCCTAACTTTATGTAAAATATTGAATTCTTTACGGCACGCAAGAAAATAAAATAAAAAATTATTTCTTTTTTTATATCTTTGACCGTTTCACTTCCTCATTGTGGTATTACCAGAAAGTTAATAACTTTTGCTATGTTAGAAAAATAAGAAATGCCAAATTTATCCTGTTGATAAGAAAAAGAGCAAAAGAAAGCGGCATGGTAACTTTAGTAAAAACTATCCCTACTGTCCCTAGTTAAATAACACCTTCCCTTACTGCCCCAGCATGATAAGGGGAGACAACACCTACCCCTAGTGCTCCCAGGAAGATGAATGGAATCAGCTCTTGGAGATACCATGGTTCATTGTATTCCACATAAAACATCACCAAGTGGTCGTTCCCAAATGGGTTGATGGAACGAAGGACGAATGCTGCGGCCAGGGCACAGAAGAACGATCTCCACAAGGTTTTCAATGGGAAGTAGTAGCTCACCTGACAAAGAAACACCTATTTACAGATTGGTCTTAGGAAAACAGGAAAAAAGAGTATTCGAAGGAAACTTCTTTACAGAATAGCATTATATGAAATCATTTTGCCTTAGCTATGTATTTTATGTTAAAATGAACCAAATTTCAATCTTTCCTGTATATGTTTACAGTAAACTCTCACCTCCTCCAGACTGAAGAGCACCCCTCCGATAGGAGCACCGAAGGCTACACTTACTCCTGCTGCTGATGCTGCAGACAGAATCTACAGAGATAAAACAAGAAAACTGTTAATAAGCTGTCATCATTGTGCATAATTCATAATTCAATTAGAAAAAAACAATTGAGTAAATGGATAACTTCGAGTAGATATGAACAATTGTAAAAACTCTAAAATATATGATAAAGGTTTTGTTCTGTAATAATAATAATAACAGTAGATTTTTTTTTTATTTTTTTATTTTTTTCAGTTATGCATCTGTCATTTATTCCGTCTTTGCATATTGCAGAGTTATCTTCTCTTGGGAGCAGGTATTGATTATTACGTCACTTGTTTGTGAGAGTAACATCATCAATTTTTGAGAAAACGACGTAATTTTCTCCCACATTAACCAATGACGTAACAATCAATACCTTCTCCCAAGAGAAGATAACTCTGCAATACGCAAAGACGGAATTACCAGTGTTAATTAATTTAGGAATGGTTTGTCAATCTGACCAAAACTTGCACTGGTGACCTATTCATCCCTATTTCATTGAAATCACAACCCTACCTCTCTCTTTTTTGCCTCGTTGCTACCATATTTTGGGAATAGATACGAGAAGATGTTACCACAGCAACAAGCCACATGGACAAAAGGTCCCTCCTTCCCGAGGCTGAGCCCTGCAGACACACCCAGCATCATCCCTATGGATTTGGTGAGTAGCGTCCACTTGCCGAGGTATCCACGGATGATGAATCCACTCAGGATTGTCTTAATCTAAACCAATCATTATAGATAAAATTATGTACATTAACTCATTCACCCCTGAAGACACATTTGAACTCCTCCAATTAAAAGGTTGGAATAGTTCATTACGAAATTTTAGGGGTGAATTAATAATGAAATTTTAGGGGTGAATTAGTTAAGTATAACATTCTTCCTACAAACGTGCATGATTATTGAAAATTCTTGCTTTTATTGCATGAAGATTTTTGTCTCTGGGCTGGGAATTACAAATATAACCTCATGTTTGGTTAGAACAACATTTAACTGTACTTATACGTACATTAGATTAATAAAATGCCAATATCGATTGAGGAAATTTTCACATATGTGATTGTGAAAGTGTATTGGTAATGTTTACACCGATATAATTTAAAAAAATAATAATTCATGTGTGAAAAGAATTACAACGCATTAACGAAGTTCATTTTCAGCAATTAAAAAACTTGCTTAAATCCTGGAAGGGTTTATTTACTAGGTCAGTTTCATATAGAAAACGTCCAATATGTTTGAATTCCTCAAAGCACTGACCAGATAACAGAACAAATGTATAATCAATCTTGATCAATTAATGCGTCAGTTTTGTTCAGCCACATTCACAAATGTTCATATAATGAAAATATTTTGACTTTTCAAGGTCAGATTTATGATTGGTGACTATATATATACAAACTTACCTCTGGGATACCAGACCCACATGCGTAGGGGGCAAACATGCGTACAAACATGGCAGCGAGAAAGGCAAACAGCAGGGCCCATAAGATGTACACAATGTATGAGATAATGTAGGAACCTCCGCTGTTATCATCTTTACCCGCTCCAAATAACCGCGCCCACGAATACCACTGAAAGAGAGAAACACAGAATGTTATACTGGTAATGAGAAAAAGAAAATGAATATATTTATAGAGTTGGTGACCTATACATTTGAGTATCTTCCTAATGAAGGAGTTCACTGACCTACATGATTAAGTGTCTCGATTGAAGAAATTTGTTTACCTACATTAAGATACAAGTACAGCGCTTTAAATTTGCAGGGTCAATATTTCGCAGTTTCGTATTCAGTACATATTCACGGCGGTTTAATTTCGCTGTGCACCCGAATCCCAGGTAAACAGTTTGAAAACACTGATCCCAAGCATCGTCATCTGCCAGTGACGTCACTTGTTTTTACATGGACTGTCCAATTGTATGGTGATAATCTGATTTGAGTTCAACTAAGCTTGCATAACAGCGTTTGGTTATAAGTATTTTCAACATGTTGGGATAAGGTCTGTAAGACTATTTAACATTTTCGATAATTTCGCTAATGTTTAGAATTCGTGGATATTAGTCAAAGAGTGAATATATCGAAATTAAAACCCACTGGAAATATGACCCTGGAAATATGACAGCTATATACAGCAACTGTTTCTGTTGGAAGGAAATTGTTGAACTATATATGAATAACTGTCAACTGTTAACCTACATATGACTGACTATCTTTCTTATTGACCTAAATAAGAGAAACTGTCTCTATCAATGGAGTTTGTTGACCTATATATACATGAGAAACTGTCTCGATCAATGGAGTTTGTTGACCTATATATGAGAAACTGTCTTTATCAATGGAGTTTGTTGACCTATATATACATGAGAAACTGTCTCGATCAATGGAGTTTGTTTACCTATATATGAGAAACTGTCTCTATCAATGCAGTTTGTTGACCTATATATACATGAGAACCTGTCTCTATCAATGGAGTTTGTTGGCCTATATATGAGAAACTGTCTCTATCAAAGGAGTTTGTTGACCTATAAATACATGAGAAACTGTCTCTATCAATGACCTTGTTGAACTAATTAAGAGAAACTGTCTCTATCAATGGAGTTGGTTGACCTATATATACATGAGAAACTGTCTCGATCAATGGAGTTTGTTTACCTATATATACATGAGAAACTGTCTCTATAAATGAACTTGTTGACCTATATATGAATAACAGTATTGAATGAGTTTGTTGACCTAAATAAGAGAAACTGTCTCTAACAATGGAGTTTGTTGACCTATATATACATTAGAAACTGTCTCTATCAATGAACTTGTTGAACTAATTAAGAGAAACTGTCTCTATAAATGGAGTTTGTTGACCTATATATGAAAAACTGTCTCTATCAATGGAGTTTGTTCACCTATATATACATGAGAAACTGTCTCAATCAATGGAGTTTGTTGACCTATATATGAAAAACTGTCTCTATCAATGGAGTTTGATGACCTATATATACATGAGAAACTGTCTCGATCAATGGAGTTTGTTTACCTATATATACATGAGAAACTGTCTCTATAAATGAACTTGTTGACCTATATATGAATAACAGTAGTGAATGAGTTTGTTGACCTAAATAAGAGAAACTGTCTCTAACAATGGAGTTTGTTGACCTATATATACAAGAGAAACTGCCTTTATCACTGGAGTTTATTGACCTATATATGAGAAACTGTCTTTATCGATGGAGTTTGTTGACCTATATATACATGACAAACTGTCTCTATCAATGGAGTTTGTTTACCTATATATGAGAAACTGTCTCTATCAATGCAGTTTGTTGACCTATATATACATGACAAACTGTCTCTATCAATGGAGTTTGTTCACCTATATATACATGAGAAACTGTCTCGATCAATGGAGTTTGTTGACCTATATATGAAAAACTGTCTCTATCAATGGAGTTTGTTCACCTATATATACATGAGAAACTGTCTCTATAAATGAACTTGTTGACCTATATATGAATAACAGTATTGAATGAGTTTGTTGACCTAAATAAGAGAAACTGTCTCTAACAATGGAGTTTGTTGACCTATATATAGAAGAGAAACTGTCTCTATCAATGGAGTTGGTTGACCTATATATGAGAAACTGTCTTTATCGATGGAGTTTGTTGACCTATATATACATGACAAACTGTCTCTATCAATGGAGTTTGTTTACCTATATATACATGAGAAACTGTCTCTATCAATGAACTTGTTGACCTATATATGAATAACAGTATTGAATGAGTTTGTTGACCTAAATAAGAGAAACTGTCTTTTTCAATGAACTTGTTGACCTATATATGAATAACAGTATTGAATGAAATTGATTACCAATACCTACATTTGAAAACTTGTCTCTGTTGAAGTAATATGCTGACCTAAATATGAGCAGCTGTTCCAATTGTACAGATGTTACCTACCTGTGAACAACCACTATTATTGAAAAAGGAATTGTTTGAAGACCAGCAGCACTGTTCCTTAGGAAGCCAGAAGGCATCCCGACATACACCCTCCTTAAGGTCAGACATCCATGTAGCCCCTATGTCAATCACCCCAGCACAAGCACCTGCCAGATAGACAGAACATAGACAATATAACAAATAAATATAAACTTCATTTATTTTACAACAATTATGAAATGGTTTCAACTTAAATTAATTAAACTCTTGTTGGCCCCGATGTTATATTTAGTGCAGATGTTGGATAACAGATCATACTGTTATCAGAATGTGCTCCATAAAACAGGCAATCGTATCCTTGATTAGTGAAAGTGGGGCATGCTTGATAGAACTCAATTCTTTTGTGATAAAAAGAGAACTTACTCACACAATTTCTTTAACTTATTATCATTATTATAGAATTTCATGTGTAAATGACCGTGGCCCTGACCCCTGACCTCCTCAATCCAATCAGGACACAATCAACTTCATATTACATACATTTGTATCACATATTTTTTATCCAATACAACATATATACATTCACTTATCCATGAGAAAAACAAAACACTAGTAGATTTCATAAACTTCATTCACCCCTGAAGGCACATTTGTACTGTTCCAATTCAAAAGTTGGAATAGTTCATTATGAAATTTCAGGGGTGGATGAGTTAAACCTCTTAATATAAAACTCTGTTTTCTTGACCTTTGACATCTGACCTTTAAAACCAGAGCAGATGCACAACACTATATTTAGTGTCTATGGTAGAAATCTGCTATAGCTACTGATCATTACACCCAACCCTGAAAACTATTTTATAGAATTCACTACACTGACTTTTGACCATGACCTTGACCTTTGACTTTCAAATACGATCTGACTTGAACTTTATGTGGTTGACTATCTATAACAGTTCGCAAAGTACATAAGTACATTGAGTTACAGTTAACCCTGGTAACATAACAGAAGTCTGCACTGTGATGTGGAACGTACCCGCAGCCACTCCCACTAGTAGCACACACACCCAGCCAGACCAGGCGTCGTGGGCACTCTTCAGCTTCTCCAGAAACCCTTCCTGTTTCTTCTTCATAATATGGCGGTGTCGCATGCGGTCCCTGGCAATGTCTCGCAACCAGTCGATGGTGTGGAAGTCATCGTACTGGCCGATGCCAGGAGGAAGGTCCTCTAGGGTGTCCATGATGTTAGTGGAACCTGAAATTCATACATATTTACATGAAGTGTTGGATTTTTCACAAGAATCTGAACTGTAGCCAGACCGGTTTGCAGTACTCATCATTATAACTACAGTATTTGCTATAACTAAACTGGTCTTATCTGAAACCATGCATCCCCCATCTTTGATTATAAGGTTAGTTTTGGCATTAAATTCACTGGTTAGAAGTGCTTAATTTAGGGGCCAAAAATCAAGAGTCTCTCTTAAACAGAGCAAGCCTGTATGCTCTAGATTGAAATCATGTCTCCATGCATGCATCATAAGGAAGATTCGGTATTGATATGAAATGGTTGTGCATCTCATCAAGTTTGACAACTCATCAAGTTTGACATTCTTATCAATGCATGTATGTGTTTAAATCAGACCACACACAATTACACATACTTACAATCTATACAATACAGCTATATAGACTGGGGTTAGGGTCAACAGGTGTTGTGATGGACCCAAATATCAAACTGTTAACCAAGTTGGATAATGTGACTAAGCAGTCAACAATCCTCTCCTTTGGACAGCTGGCTATATAGAAAAGGTATTCTTGCATACTAGACTGAGATATCCACATATAAATGGAATCTCTTGGTAAATTAACACAAGTACAATTGATCTTGGTGTGTGTGGTTTTTAATTGCACAAGTAAGCTAGAAAGTTGACCATACTTGAACTCACAGCGACTACCAGTTGATTTCATGTGACACACTGTGCCCTAACCAGTGACGACTATCATTCTGTCAGTGCTTTCCTATACTCTCCTTAATTTCCCTCCTCGTATGCTGCTGCTGAATCTTTATGTCCCTTCCAGCAGTCCTTGTTTAATGGAGACTTCTATGTTTGTCAACTGACAGAACAGCCAGGCCGTGTTCTTTTTAGAAATTTGCAAGGCAATTATTTCTATTTTGCATTTTATTCCCAGCGGTGACAATATGAATCAAGTCCATCGTCAACTTCTTCATCCCAGCTAGTGAAGGCAGACGTTACAGAATCATATAAACACCTAAATCACATCAGCAGTCACAAAAGAAAATGGCTTCAATTCAAAATATCATATCGTAGATTTCAAGTCAGCTTATGAAAATGTTTCTTCTCTGCAAAATTTTGCAAGGCATTTGGTTTATGTGATGAATCCTCTTACAACTGTTTCTATTTTAGATGAGATTTATGAAACTAATGTCACATTTTTTCAAAAATGTTATGTCATCAAAGAGTTGTAAATACACAACACCAGAATGAGTGTCCAATTTATGGGTTGCAAATTTAAGGCCAACGAAAAACTTGATGGGGGAAGTTACTCAAAGCCAGAAAAAAACTCTTTTAGTTCCTTTATCTTTAAATGATATAGAAGGGAGATAACTCTAAGCTTTGGAACTCTTCTTTACTTTTATAACTGATGCAGTGATTTCATTTCCCTTATAATGTGACAGTATAGATGTTTGAACGGCTTAGACATAAGGCCTGTGTGAGAACTTTGGACAGAGATTTCAGGCAGGATGCAAACATTAATATCCCCTGGTTTCTATGATGGACGAATGATAAGTGAATTTAGCCCACAACATGGACTGTTATTGTGATATCTAATGATATCATTAGTCATATCACAACAGCACAATCATCTCAGGAACAGGAAACTAATAAAATAGGCATCACAAAATTGAAGTGATATTTATACTTCAGTTTAGCTTCATGTTATTTCTATTGCTTTAACTCATTCACCCCTGAAATTTCAATTAATGAACAATTTGCACCTTTGAACTGGAAGACCCCTGGCAATATGTGACCATGGCCATGGTTACCGTGGTTAAGGTTACCGTGGTTAACCATGTCTAACCATGGTTAAATCATGGTTAGACATGCTTTAATGTGCTCCTAACCGCATACCAACCATGGTTGTGATCATGGTTGACCATGGTGAAAAGTTAGAGTTCAAATGTGTCTTCAGGGGTGAATGAGTTAACTTTAAAATACCTTACCTTTACAAATACATGTACTGTATAAATATGTACCAAGAAATTTTCGCAGAATTGCAACTTTCAAATTTTTGGCTCTCTGTAATCACGGCACTTTATTATATCAAAGCAAACTTTACAAAACAACATACTATGCATAGTACCTGAATGTGAAGGATGAAAATAATACTATATGAACATGAATTTCCATGGCATAGGGTAAAAATTTGACAGGGCACATTTTTTTTTGTACACAGACAGTATCAACAACAGAAAAAGTTAGAAGTAGGAAATTTTTGTCATTTCAAAGTTTATATCTTATAATGTAGTTAGGTAGGTCTTGTAAATGCTATGTCAATTTCAAACACAGTACAGCCAACACTGAATTGATATACTGGTTTTACCGATGTAGTAAGAACATTTGACAGGACAAAAGTGTTTTAGTAAACAGTATAGTGACGTATCAACAACAGAAAAAGTTTAAAGTATATCGTTTTTGTCATTTCAAAGATTATATCGTATAATATAGTTATAGGTAGGTCTTGCAAACACTGTACAGCTGAAAATATCAATGTATTTCACATCATCACAATGGAAGTATTGTGCTAGTAATTTAATTAGTAATAGATTAATATTAGCTATTTAACCATACAGCTGAAATCAATAGCTGCTAATTAACATGTGTTGCAAATTACTTGACAGCTCGATCAATTTGACAGTATTAAACATTATCGTAATGGGGTCAGTATAAAACCCAATAATTATATACAGGAATGGTCCGTATTACAATTTGTCTGTATCGCATCTTAAGTTCACATGTATTCTCATGCATATATAGCGACAGTGTTGTGGACCCTATACAGCTATAGCTACCAGCAGACACTCCTGAACCTCGGTGTGCTCATTTCCTCCAACACCACAAACCCACTTATCCGATCTCATTCCTACATTGATTATTGGTACCTAAATGCCTTCAATCAATACCATGTGTATTGTCACCAGTCTAAAGGAATTCAGACATTTTTGTCTTATTGATAAATGTTTTAAATAACAAACACATATACAGAATCAATCCTGTGCTTCTCATACAAACTCCACACAGAGACCGATTTTTTTCCTAATATGAAACTGATGCATGATCGATGCGAGATTTAACTTGTAAAAGATATTTCTACAGATTAACAGGATTTTCTTTTATAGTAATAAATGGGAATGAAAAAGGATGCTAATTTTATGAGACGATTAAACATGCCACGTGTACTTAATATATGCTATATGGCTGTGGGAGAAATAAAGCAGCTCTACTGATTTAAAAAGAGCTTAAAGAATCTCTAAAGAAATATCAACTAGATGACAGAAAATGGTGCATACAGGATGTTAGAATTTCTTTAGATGAACAAAACAAATGTGAAAGAAAGAATTTGAATGCTAAGCAAGAATGTCCAAGGTTACAGAAAATGGCAGAATGGAGCATGAACATAATCTTTAAATGTTCAAGGTGACGGAAGGTAGAAAGCATAGGGTGTAAAATTTTTTTTATATACGTTCGAAATAAGACAGAAACTGTGGTAGACTTAAGCTTTGGAGCTATGAGGAATCATGAAGTACATACTTATTCAATTACAGGATGACACTGAATTGGTAGACAAGAGCATGAAATCCTGTTATATGTTGGAGGTGAAATAAAGTTCATGCAGCTGGCACACAGGAATATGAAAATTCCTTTAGATGGATGATTGATCAACAAAATAACACAAAATATAGCATTTATTACACTAACTATACACTTGTACAATTATCGAAAGATTGAAACCATGTGAACCCATATAACTAGTACAGGAAATCTAAATTCTAAGAGGACAAAAATTATCCAGCAAATAGTCAATTGATTAAATTGGTCCTATAAGTAGAAACAAATTATGTAAAAATGGTCAGAATCTAAAAGTAAAGGTCAATAACAACATATATAGGATCATGTATATAAATTCTGTTATGGTACAGCACCACACCATGGGGTCTGTGTATGTCATTAATGGTACAGCACCACACCATGGGGTCTGTGTATATCATTAATGGTACAGCACCACACCATGGGGTCTGTGTATGTCATTAATGGTACAGCCCCACACCATGGGATCAGTGTATGTCCTTAATGGTACAGCATGCGCCCCACACCATGGGATCAGTTGATGTCATTAATGGTACAGCCCCACACCATGGGATCAGTGTATGTCATTAATGGTACAGCACCACAGAATGGGATCAGTGTATGTCATTAATGGTACAGCACCACACCATGGGATCAGTATATGTCATTAATGGTACAGCTCCACACCATGGGATCAGTTTACAATATAAATGTTACAGGATCACACCATGGGATCAGTGTATGTCATTTATGGTACAGCACCACACCATGGGATCAGTGTCCAATATAAATGGTACAGGATCACACCATGGGGTCTGTGTATGTCATTAATGGTTCAGCACCACACCATGGGATCAGTGTATGTTATTAATGGTACAGCATCCGCACCACACCAGGGGATCAGTTTACAATATAAATGGTACAGCATCACACCATGGGATCAGTGTATGTCATTTATGGTACAGCACCACACCATGGGATCAGTGGACAATATAAATGGTACAGGATCACACCATGGGATCCGTGTATATCATTAATGGTACAGGATCACACCATGGGATCAGTGATTGTCATTAATGGTACAGGATCACACCATGGGGCCTGTGTATGTCATTAATGGTACAGCACCACAGAATGGGATCAGTTTATGTCATTAATGGTACAGCACCACACCAGGGGATCAGTGTATGTCATTAATGGTACAGCACAACACCATGGGATCAGTGTACAATATAAATGGTACAGGATCACACAATGGGATCAGTGTATGTCCTTAATGGTACAGCATGCGCGCCACACCATGGGATCAGTTTACAATATAAATGGTCCAGGATCACACCATGGGATCATTGTAGGTCATTAATGGTACAGCACCAAACCATGGGAT